TAGTCTAAAGGCTTAGGACGCTCGCACGGAATGTAAGAGATCCGGGTTCGACTCCCGGCCGAGGAAATATTTTTCGCAATAAGTTTATTACAGTTTTTTAAGATTTGGGAAATTTTCGGGGGATTATTTATTTCAGATTGATTGTGTGAATCCGATAATTTCATCGGTTCGCAATTTATTTCTGAAAATTAATTCAATTTAAATGAGTGTATATTATATAGTAGTTCAACATCTCTTAACACTCGGACCGGTAAGGCGCTTCGTATTTCAAGTTTTAATATAAACGGTCTCGTTTCCAATCATATTGTTTATAATTATTATATTGATGTACGTGTTAGTTCGTATTTATTAGGATACATTAAGTCTATTTCTTTATTCCCGCATTAGACTACACTTTCTGGATTTTCTTTCTCTCTTTTGCTAAAAAATATCAAATATATGTCTATTCCATTTTAAGTTCCACAAAAGTGTGTATACTAGTTCAATTACACAAAACTGTTACAAAAGAGTTATAAAAAAAAAGACTTTTGACACTTTGGATTTCCCTTAGATTTGTAATCAATGCGCTACATATATGTATTTTTTTTTTCTAGTTACTTTGCGGCTGCCAAAATGCCATTCAAGTTCCATTTGAAAAAGAGCAGACAGTATAATGTCGTGTCCAAGAATCAGTACGTAATCTGTGTCGAATTGTTAGATGCCACTTCTATAGAATGCACTCTCAGCATCGACAGCGTTGGCCAGGAGTGTCTGGACAATGTGATGCAACGTTTGGGATTAGGGCAACCAGAGTTTTTTAGCTTACGCTATGTTTGCCGCAGTACATCATCACTTCGATGGATAGACATGGACAAACCTTTAAAGAGGCAGCTTGAAAAAGATGCTAAAAGCTTTACGCTTTACTTAAGAGTTATGTACTATATAGTGGACGTACAACTCATTCAAGATGAGATGACAAGGTTGACTTAATTCGCTTAAGTGATATAAGGTCTGTTCTTTTTAGTTCAACTTGCACAGTGTATCTTTTCTTGTTTTCTCTTCAAATTGAGAAAAGAAGAAAAGAGGAAATATGAGTCTTACAAAAAATTAAAAATAACAGACCTATAAGTTTCTTAAAAAATATAATTTTACGTGTTTCTTCTCTTTTCCCTTCCACAGATATCATTATTATCTTCAACTGAAGAATGATGTGCTAGAAAACAAAGTACATTGTAATTACAGACAGGCTTGTGTGTTGGCAAGCTATTCTATGCAAGCTGAATTTGGAAATTATAGTCCAGAGAGACACACAATCGAATATCTCCAACAATGCACTTTCTTCCCAAATGTAACACCAATTTTCATAATTAAATTATTCTAATTGCAAATGTCATATAAATCTAAATCCGGGTTCTATTTAAATTTCTCTTTAGGACGTAAACAAAACGGATCCAAATGGACAAGAATCTCTTTTATATACAGCAATATGTCAATATAAAGGTTTTGTCAATATGACACAAGCTACTGCAGAAGAATTATATATCTCGATTGCCATGCAACTGGAAGGATATGGCACTGAAACTTTTCCTGCCAAGGTATAAATAGCGCGATAAATTAATTAATTTTTGTTGCTTCAATTATGCTGTAATTATGGAATATTTTAGGATACCAGTAACAACAAAGTTATACTTGGAATTTCCATTAATGGAATTATGGTGGCCTATCCTAATACTCAAACAACGCAATTTTATAGGTTAATTTACTTTTTATTTTATATATGTGACTTTAGGTCTGTTCTTTTCAGCTGAATTTCTTGCATGTTCATCTTTTCTCTTTTTCTTTCCACGTTGGAAAAAAAGAGGAGATAAATAGTGCAAAAAATTCAGCTTTTTTTAAAAAGGACTTTTTATACGCACTAAATTATTACAGCATATTAAATAAATAATTTATGATTTGCAGATGGAAAGATATCAGTAATGTCATAAATCAAAAAAAGACGTTTAGAATAGAGTGCAAATGTGAAGAAGCAAAGCAATTTGTATTTACCGAGTCGCGAGATGCAAAATACATATGGAGATTATGTATAGCCCAACATTTATTTTATATACAGTATCAAGAACGCCGTCCACAAGAAAGATCTAGTGGCTGCTGTGTGCGTAAATTAACATTTGATTAATTACATTGAAACATGCGTACAGAATTTTATATAATTGTAGGCATTAATATGTTGTTACAGGATAATGATACAAACGATTCTAGTGAGCAAGCAGTATCCGTGAATTCGGATAACAGGACCTCGGACACACATACACGGTGGACAAGTTACAACGATCTTTCAATACCATCACCGTGTCCTGTTGTATCCATTTCGTCAACCGATATAAATAGTTTGCGCGCGTTATTACCATCATATAGACCGGCACCTGATTACGAAACGGCAGTCCAAATGAAATATAATAGTGGAAACGCTTCTCAGCCGTATTATGCGAATCAGTCAGCAATAGTTGGTTCAGATATTTCGTGCCTGCTAGGTGTAAACCGCAATAGATATTAAATTTAATAAGATACCTGATAAAGTTCTATTGAAATATTTGTGATATAAAAATTTGAACATGCAAAAGAGATTATATATTATATATAATTCATATATATTTGCAAATAAAATATTTATAAATTATATTAAATATATTAAATATATTAAAATATAACATTTACATTAAATTAGGAATTAATACTCTAT